TTTATGGCTTGATGTGCTGTTGGAGTGTGAGCAATGTAACATTTATGAAGGGATTCAGGGAAACCAGTTAGCAGACTTGAGCCCTGGAGGTGGGAAGCACAGTGCCTGTGCTTTGAAGGAGGGGTGGAGATATGCTGCAGTTTTTGAACTCTAGTGTAGGCATGCTTCTGGCAAGAGTGGTGGAGCAAATGACAGCGAAAGTGTTTCTTCCTTTTCGGCTCACCCTGCCTTGGTGGAAAACGGCCAATGTATTAACAAAAAATAAATAAAAGGATGTAACTTAAATTATAATGGAGGTTGTCAGAGTAGGCTAGTATGATAAAATATAAACTTATGTACGATCTTTATACTGTGAGGTGTAAAATATAACCATGAAATAGTGGAAAAATATGAAGATAACTAGGATTCAACTTATTAATTGCAATGTTAATTTATAATATATAAAAGAGGAACTTTTAAAATGTGCAGTGTAAAAGTATACTAATGAAATAGTACACAAAATTATAAAGATAGGTAGGGTTAATGAAAACATGTATAAAAAACTACAGTAAGAAGGGAGGCAATCATGTTCAATCCAAGGAAGGAGAGCAGAGATCCATTTCCTTAGATCAAGAGCCCCTCCCTTCACCAGCATCAAAGAACCTCCCTTGAGTGGGGGGAGGGGGAGGAATTGTGTAGGAGATACCTCCAGAAACCTAGAGTCGAAGAACATATAAATGTATGCCAGAAGGACAAAATTAAAAATGCAGGCACATTACATCGAAACACCGAGAACTATCTAATGAATTTCTCAAAGACAAGATTTACAATGAAAGAAAATGATCACTGAAGAGATTATCTTTAAATTATTATTATTATTATCAAGGGGGAAGCGCTAAACCCGGAGGATTATACAGCGATGGGGGGGATGTGGAAGGCATTCAGGCTTAATTCGGGGAACTGGAGCACAGATCTAATTCCCTAAATCAAGAGCCCCTCACCAACATCAAGGAACCTTCCTTGAGGGGATTATCTTTAAAATTGGCAAGAATATCCACCATCAATACAGTTTCTTGATATTCTGGATCATACACAATCTCAGAAGGCTTAGGAAAGCTTATTCTCCTTAAACCTGACTTTGCTATGACTTAGCTTCACCTCAAGTGGCTAGTCACATGTGACCACTCTTTTGCACCAGGACCTCTCTTCAACCCTATATACAATATATGTGCATGTTGCTATTCTCTGTATAATAGTCCCTGGTGGATGAATTATTATTGTATTTAGACAGTGCTAAACCCATGGTGGGTTATAGAGCACCTGGCAAATGGGATTCTGTCAGGTTTGATCCAAGGAAGGGGAGGACATGTCCAATTCCTTGGATCAAGAATCTGTCACCCTTAAGGGATGTAATGCCTTCATAAATTAAATGTCATAACCTACACATTGTGTGGGTTATGACATTAGTTTTGCTGCTTAACCCTTAACCCTTTCAGGGTTTGGCCGTACTAGTATGGCTTACGCACCAGGGTTTTTGACATACTAGTACGCCTAAATTCTAGCGCCCTCGAATCTAGTGAGAGAAAGCTGGTAGGCCTACATATGAAAGAATGGGTCTATGTGGCCAGTGTGCGCAGTATAAAAAAAATCCTGCAGCACACAGTGCGTAATGAGAAAAAAAAAACTTTGTGTTTTTGGATTAAAACAGCGACTCTGCACTGTATTTTCGTATGGTATTTATTGTTGTGTTCTAGTTTTCTTGGTCTCATTCTGTAGGATGGAAGACATATTACAGAAATTGAGATGATTTTGACTGATTTTACAATGAAAAGTACCTTGAAATTGAGCTCAAAGTAGCAGAAGTGTTCGATTTTTGCCAAAGTTCAAAAGTACATGTAAACAAATCATGCTAAGTGTCCAATACACGTCAACTGGTGAGTCTAATATTCTTTCACAAGTGAGCCGATATTATTTATACCATTTTTTACACAAATGCAGTAGTCTGCATAACAGTTAAATCTTCTATTTTCTGTGAGAATAAAAAATTCAAAGTGGAAAGCAAAAGAATGTAAGAGGGGCATTGGGACATGACTAATGAACAGAGGAAATGTCATTTTAGTGCCAGGAATGTCTTTCTTGTTTATTCTGGACCCTATTTGGAAATTGGCATCTTCTGAAATTTGTGTGAAATTGGCAAAATTGCTAAATTCTGACCACTGTATTGGATAGTTGAAATCGGTAAATGGGTGGTTTCTTGCACTCATTCGATAGAAAAAATGGAGTTCAACAAAATATTCATGATTTTTGTCAAATAGTACAGTGGAATTGGCCAAAAATAGGGCTCAAAGTGGGCAAAATTGCCGATGCGTAAACATCGTCGAGACCGCTAACTTCGCGAGAGCAGAATTCCATAAGTTTTCCATCAAATTTCATACTTTTAGTGTCATTATGATCAGGAAAAGATTCGCTCTTTTCATAAGAAAAGACAATTTTTTTTTTAAATTTGGGCGACCCTGAGAACAAGTCTCTGAGAGGACCTGTCGACCGTGAAAGGGTTAAACTGTCCAAACGTAGATCTACGTTCACGTGCGTAGCGCTCCGACCTTGATTTTCCCCATTTGAAAGCATGTAAAAAAAAAAAGTAGATCTACGTTCGGAGCCCCCCCCCTGCACGTGGACGTAGATCTACGTTTGGACAGTTTAAGGGTTAAGACAGGTGTGTATGCAGGGCTGAGCTTCAATTAGGTTGTGGTCCAAGTTTGATGCACAGTATTCAACACCCTTATGTTCTTTATCAGACCCTTATTATTTGTAAATAGTCAAGGGTGGTATAAACCTTGGTAATAAATACCGACAAGTTGGTTTAGAAAGACACGTAAGCAAACACTATAACATATTTATTAGAAAACGTTTCGGTCCTGGGACCTTGATCACTTCTCAAGTGATCAAGGTCCCAGGACCGAAACGTTTTCTAATAAATATGTTATAGTGTTTGCTTACGTGTCTTTCTAAACCATAGTCAAGGGTATTTTCTAGTCTAGTGTCAGTTTGTAAGAGGTAACTATGGTCATATGGCAAGTAGGTTACAAAACATTAAAATTCTGTGAAGAGTATGCAGTAGTGGAGGTGGGATGAGCTGGAATTAGGTGGAGTTTATTTTTTCAGTTTGCTTTATCATGTTTGGGGCTACAGTCAGTGATCAGACTACCTGGAGGATAATCCAGGGGTCAGTGTCCCTGTGGTCTGTTCCATGACAAGGCCTCATAGTGGATCAGTGCCTGATCAAACAATCTGTTACAGCTGACCATACACAATCCAACATATGAACCAGAGACCAGATGGTAAGGTACTGACTTTAGGTACATGTCCAGTTCCCTCTTGAAGACAGATATGGGTCTATTGGTAATAATACCCTTTATGTATGATAGGATGCTGTTGAACAGTTCTGAGCCCCTGAAATTTATTGTGTTTTCTCTCAGTATACTCATGGCACCTTTGCTTTGTAACTGAGGGTATACCTTTTTAACTGAGGGTATGCCCCCACTGCCTTGTCCAAGACCAGGCCTTGGGTATGTTGCACTGTTTGCCAAGTCTTTTGCTTTCATAGGTAATGATTTGCTGAGTGCAGATTTGGGACCAGTTCCTCTACTTTTTTTCCACTGATGTACCTTTTTCACCTGCATTCCAAGGAGTACAAGTCAAGGGACTTCAAATGTTCCCAGTAATTGAGGTGCTTTACTGCACTTGTATGTGCAGTGAAGGTTTTCTGTATTAGAGTCGGACTATAAAGAAGGCTGGTTATCATGAATAAAAGCTGTGATTTACAGTAGAAAACCTTAAGTTGCATGATCACAACTTGCATTTTCAACATTATGTGATTTAAACCATACCATGGGCGGGATTTGAATCCGCGGTCAGAGAGTTTCAAAACTCTGGAGTTTTGAGACTCTCTGACCGTGAGTTCAAATCCCGCCCATGGTATGGTTTGTTTGCAATCATGTCATTACGATTTCGTGAGTTATGTGATTTAAATGTACAGTTTTTCATTTCTAACGAAAGTGCACCCATTTCCATTAAGACATGGAGACACATTCATTTCCATTGGTGGCATGCATTTCTGTTAATGAACGCAAGTGCAGAATTAATTTCCATTGGTGGCACGTATTTCCATTTACGAGGGCCGCAGAGGCAAGCCTGAGACCTCCCCAAAACACATTAGGCAACTCAGTCTTAGCACTGTGGGAGGGTGATGCTAACAAAGCAAGGATGACTAACCCTTAACTATACCCAACATACTAGTATTCAACTAATGATTATGTGTCCAATGTACTGATATGCAAAGCTTTTTGTACCTTTAAATTAGCCACCTGTCAACATTTTTTATGGCAGCACAACTCTTTGGGTCTTCTACGACCTCTTCATACCTTGCTCTACACAATGCATCATGGTTAACTACACAGGTCATGACCATGAGTCTTGTGTACAGGCATACCTCACTAATATGGCAGGTAAGGTCCCAGATCACCACTGTAAAGCGAATATCGCCTTTAAGCAAATCACAGACTTTTTTCAATTGCCAGTGCATATTAAAGCCCAAAAACATGTTTACATTATCAGTTATTAAGTGCACAATAGCACAAGACCCAAAAAATGATGCAAAAGTAAAAATAATAAATAATTTTTTTTTTAAATTTCCAAAAACCATCTTAAGAGCAAGGCAAGCGCCAAAAATAATAAACATGAATATGATTGAAAAGTGTCATATTAGCGAAGCGCTCTAAAGCACTGTATTAATGAGGTATGCCTATATTTTACAATAAAAATAGTAACAAGATTTAGTTCTCTACTATCTAACAAATCATTTTATTACTGTAAATTAACATCTTCAAGGTCCTCAAAAGAACAACCCTGATGAGCAGATAACTCATGTAAGGCTGTAACAAAATAACAAAAAGCTTTAGAATTGATAATCCTTAAACATTCCGGCAATCTAGGGCCACAAGGCTCAATTAAATACTGGATTACAAGTTTCCTATATTTAGCACTGATCAATTAATAAAAATAATGTATATTAAAAATAAAATGCATAGGTTTGTAGTTTAATAGTTTCTAACTTCATATTTTTTTTTACTCAGTCTGTTACCTATACATTCTGTAGCTCAACACCATTTTCTTTTCCAGTCTCTGTAATATCCATTATAGTCACCCCTGTGTTACCTTCTTCGGTAAAACTTGTGTTCTTGTCTGCCACTTCAGTTTTCTTGGCTTTAGCTTTGGCTTCTTTTTGTTCCTTTTTACTTTGCTGAGACTTCTTATGCACTGTAAAAGAAAGCAAGGTAAAATGAAAAAAAATCACGTGTGTGTGTGCGTGTGTGGGAAAATTCAGCAATTTCCTACCACAAAATGTGAAATTTGTCTCAGATTTATTACACATAAAACATTTGTCTGTTGGGCTTTATTTGCGTGTAACAACTATTTGGCGGCAAAAAAAAAAAGACTCAAAGCTCTGTCCTTGCCTAATCACACATGAGATATAAAGTCAATACAGTTCTGACTTACAATGCTTATACATTACCCTCAGACACGACATCATCATTCCCTCCAGCCTCCTCCTTGCTGCAACATTCACAACCCATGCCTCACACCCATATAAGAGCATTGGCACCACAATACTCTCATACATTCCCCTTTTTGTCTCCCTGGGTAATGTCCTTTGTCTTCACAGGTGCCTCAATGCACCACTCAACATTTTATCCTAATCAATTCTATGGTTCAGCTTGTCTTTCATAGACCTATTTGCTGACAAGGAATGGTTTTTATGACTTGACATGCTGTTGGAGCATGAGTAAAGTAACATTTATGAAGGGATTCAGGTAAACAGGTTAGTCAGACTTGAGTCCTCGAGGTGGGAAATACAGTGTCTATACTCTGAAGGAGGGGTAAGGATATGTTGCAGTTCTCCATAGGGAGAACTGCAACATCTCTGGCAAGACAGTGATAGAGTGTGAGTTGATGAAAGAGTTTCTTTTTTCAGGTCACCCCTCCTCGGTGGGATACAGCCGGTGTGTTGAAAGAAAGAAATGTATGAAAGAGGGGAAGGTACCTAGGGATAGGTGGAGAGCATGTATAGTCCCTTTATATAAAGAGAAGGGGGACAAAAGAGATTGTAAAAATTATAGAGGAATAAGTTTACCGAGTCCTAGGTAGTAGGTTGGTAGACAGCAACCACCCAGGGAGGTACTACCGTCCTGCCAAGTGAATGTACAACAAAAGCCTGTAATTATTTTACATGATGGTAGGATTACTGGTCTCCATTTTTCTGTCTCGTAAACATGCAAGATTTCAGGTACGTCTTGCTACTTCTTCTTACACTTAGGTCACACTACACATACATGTACAAGCACATATATATGTACACACCCCTCTGGGCTATCTTCTAATTTCTTACTAGTTCTTGTTCTTGTTTATTTCCTGTTCTCTCCATGGGGAAGTGGAACAGAATTCTTCCTCCATAAGCCATGCGTGTTGTAAGAGGGGACTAAAATGCCGGGAGCAAGGGGCTAGTAACCCCTTCTCCTGTATATATTACTAAATGTAAAAGGAGAAGCTTTTGTTTTTCCTTTTGGGCCACCCAGCCTCGGTGAGATGCGGCCGGTGTGTTGAAAGAAGAAGTTTACTGAGTATACCAGGAAAAGTGCACGGTAGGGGTATTATTGAAAGAATTAGAGGAAAGACAGAATGCAGGACTGCGGATGACAAGGAGGTTTTAGAGTGGGTAGGGGATGTGTAGATCAAGTGTTTACATTGAAGCTATGTGAACAGTATTTAGATAAAGGAAGGAAAGTTTTTATTGCATTTATGAATTTAGAAAAGACATATCTTCATGATGAATTTGGTAGGGTGTGCAAAAGAAGAAAATTAAAGGTGAATACAGGAAAGAGTAAGGTTATGAGGATAACAAAAAGATTAGGTGATGAAAGATTGAATATCAGATTGGAGGGAGAGAATATGGAGGAGGTGAACGTATTCAGATATTTGGGAGTGGACGTGTCAGCGGATGGGTCTATGAAAGATGAGGTGAATCATAGAATTGATGAGGGAAAAAGAGTGAGTGGTGCACTTAGGAGTCTGTGGAGACAAAGAACTTTGTCCTTGGAGGCAAAGAGGGGAATGTATGAGAGTATAGTTTTACCAACGCTCTTATATGGGTGTGAAGCGTGGGTGATGAATGTTGCAGCGAGGAGAAGGCTGGAGGCAGTGGAGATGTCATGTCTGAGGGCAATGTGTGGTGTGAATATAATGCAGAGAATTCGTAGTTTGGAAGTTAGGAGGAGGTGCGGGATTACCAAAACTGTTGTCCAGAGGGCTGAGGAAGGGTTGTTGAGGTGGTTCGGGACATGTAGAGAGAATGGAGCGAAACAGAATGACTTCAAGAGTGTATCAGTCTGTAGTGGAAGGAAGGCGGGGTAGGGGTCGGCCTAGGAAGGTTGGAGGGAGGGGGTAAAGGAGGTTTTGTGTGCGAGGGGCTTGGACTTCCAGCAGGCATGCGTGAGCGTGTTTGATAGGAGTGAATGGAGACAAATGGTTTTTAATACTTGACGTGCTGTTGGAGTGTGAGCAAAGTAACATTTATGAAGGGATTCAGGGAAACCGGCAGGCCGGACTTGAGTCCTGGAGATGGGAAGTACAGTGCCTGCACTCTGAAGGAGGGGTGTTAATGTTGCAGTTTAAAAACTGTAGTGTAAAGCACCCTTCTGGCAAGACAGTGATGGAGTGAATGATGGTGAAAGTTTTTCTTTTTCGGGCCACCCTGCCTTGGTGGGAATCGGCCGGTGTGATAATAAATAAAATAATAAAATAAATATCTTCATAGATCTAAACTTACTCCCTGTTCAGTACATCCACACTTACTACTGTGCAATCTACATCTACAGGACCTTAAATTCCAATATTAACCTTGACCTAAAACGCTTTCTTGATAGTTGCGACAGAACCCACAGGCACAACACCAGACACAAACATCTCTATGACATTCCCCGTGTCCGACTAAACCTTTACAAAAATTCAATGTAATGTATGTCAAAGGCCCTAAAATCTGGAACACCCTACCTGAAAATTCTAAAACTGCAGACACATTCATCACCTTCAAAACTACCATCAGAAAACATCTTATCTCCCTGATACACCCTGTCAACTAATTACATGAATACCACCTGGTGGTTAACACTTACACTCACTCACCCATTTGACCATAAACAGAAATATCAATCTCAATCTCAAAATAATGAATCTTAACTAGTCATAAGTTGGCCTGTGATACTCCAATACTGAAACTATGTATAGTGCCAAAACAAAAGCATTCACATTGCTAAACTCACAAACTAGTATTTAGTCACTTAGCCATAATACCAACTAACCTCATAATTTTGTAATATTTTAAACTTAAGATTTAATTTAAGTCTGCCCGAAATGCCTAGCCATGCTAGGTGTTCTAGTGGTACACTCTGTAATTATTATTTTACTACATGTAAACCACACAATAACCAAATTCTGTAAACTCAGCATTGTAATCTTTATAGAGAATAAATTTTGAATTGAATTGAATATGAGAGAGTGGATAGGGGAGCAATGTGGCAGATGTTGCAAGTACAGTGGACCCCCGCATAACGATATTATTTCAATTCAGAAGTCTGTTTGGGTGCTGTTATAGACCGAATTTGTTCCCATAAGAGATATTGTGAATTAGATTAGTCCGTTTCAGACCCCCAAAAATACACCTACAAAAGCACTTACAAAAATACACTTACATAATTGGTTGAGTTGGGAGCTGATCTTTATGCGGGGGTCCACTGTAGTACAGTGGACCCCCGCTTAACGATTTATTTATTTATACACACTCATCTGAGTTTTCTTTGATTTTATCTTAATAGTTCTTGATCTTATTACTTTTCCTTTTATATCCATGGGGAAGTGGAATAAGAATCTTTCCTCCGAAGCCATGCATGTTGTAAAAGTCAACTAAAATGAGGGAACAATGGGCTAGTAACCCCTTTTCCTGTAATAATTACTAAAAAGAATAAGAAGAAAATTGTCAAAGTGGGATGTCTGAATGTGCGTGGATGTTGTGCAAATAATAAGAAAGAGATGATTGTGGATGTTATGAATGAGAAGAAGCTGGATATCCTGGTTTTAAGTGAAACAAAGCTGAAGGGGGTGGGAGAGTTTCAGTGGAGAGGAATAAATGGGATTAGGTCAGGGGTTTCAAATAGAGTTAGAGCTAAAGAAGAAGTAGCAATAATGTTGAAGGAAAAGCTATGGCAGGAAAAGAGGGACTATAAATGTATTAATTCAAGGATTATGTGGAGTAAAATAAAGGTTGGATGTGAAAAGTGGGTTATAGTAAGCGTATATGCACCTGGAGAAGAGAGAAGTGTAGAGGAGAGAGAGAGAGATTTTGGGAAATGTCGAGTGAATTCGTGGGGAGTTTTGAACCAAGTGTGAGAGTAATGGTGGTTGGGGATTTCAATGCTTAAGTGGGCAAAAATGTTGTGGAGGGAGTAGTAGGTAAATTTGGGGTGCCAGGGGTAAATGTAAATGGGGAGCTTTTAATTGAGCTATGTGTAGAAAGAGGTTTGGTAATAAGTAATACATATTTTATGAAGAAGAGGATAAATAAATATACAAGGTATGAAGTAAAGGGTGTGATAAAAGAGTAAAAGTTAGCTTATGAGAGGTTTTTACAAAGCAGAAGTGTTTTAAGAAGAGTAGAGTATATGGAGAGTAAAAGAAAAGTGAAGAGAGTGGTGAGAGAGTGCAAAAGGAGAGTAGATTATAGAGTGGGAGAGGCACTGTCAAGAAATTTTAATGAAAATAAAGAAAAATTTTTGGAGTTAAAAAAGTTAAGAAAGCCTAGAGAACGAATGGATCTGTCAGTTAAAAACAGAGTAGGGAAGTTAGTAGATGGGGAGATGGAGGTTTTGGGTAGATGGCGAGAATATTTTGAGGAACTTTTAAATGTTAACGAAGAAAGGGAAGCATTAATTTCATGCACTGGCCAGGGAGGTATACCATCTTTTAGGAGTGAAGAAAAACAGGATGTGAGTGTGGGTGAGGTGCGTGAGGCATTACGTAGAATGAAAGGGGGTAAAGCAGCTGGAACTGACGGGATCATGAAAGAAATGTTAAAAGCAGGGTGGGATATAGTGTTGGAGTGGTTGGTATTTTTGTTTAATAAATGTATGAAAGAGGGGAAGGTACCTAGGGATTGGCAAAGAGCATGTATAGTCCCTTTATATAAAGGGAAGGGGGACAAAAGAGAT